ATATATATATATATATATATATATATATATATATATATATATATATATCTTGTATCTTGTTCAAATTTGCAATCTTTTAAAAAATACTTTCAATTCATCCATTCAAGTTCAAATACATTTTTTAAAACTTTTAGTGGATGACACATACAGTTAATACAGCTTTTTCAAATAATAATTCATTAATTATATTTAATTAATGAATAAATACTATTAAACAAAAGTAATAGTCCAACACGATATATAAAAAGGAAAATCACTCGTTGAGTCCCTGTCACGCAATTGGTAGCGCGTTGAACTTCTTATCCAAAGATCGTGGTTTCGAATCCCACCTGGGATGACCTAATTTCTGAGAATGTGATTTCGTTTTGCTATAATATTTTAATGAAATAATTAAATTTAATTAATGAGTAAATAGTAACAAACAAATAAAAATAGTCCAACACCATATATTTAAAGGAAAATGGAAGATCGTTTTCTATTCTGCCGCTTAATATTGTGATTATGTCCTATGTATATACATATTTATATTAATCGTAATTATTTAATAAGACGAAACTAATATAAAATTTTCCTTTGTTGACCTAAGCAGGAATTCATTAAAAAATTTATATATATATACTACTTGTTTTTGTTTTAAAGTGATATAAAATCAGCTTCGGGTGAATTAATTTTTTTTTAATAATAATAATAATAAAAATAAAAATAAAAAAAAAAAAACATGCATACTGAGTGTACAATTAAGGTGACTGGATACCTTCTGTACCTTGATTTTAAAACAGCGTCTAAATGAATAACGTGAATAGAGTGTTTTGACGTTTAATGTAAGCTTAGAATATACATTTAAAATTGTTTTAAGAGTATTATTACAAGAAAAAAATTATTTAAATGTAACTTTTGGCAAAATTAAAAAAAAAAAAAATTTAAAACGAATGACATTTTTTGAAAACTATCCTCTTTTAAGAAAAATGCTTCTATAAGAATGATATTTTGCCTATGTATTGCTGGGACTTCTATACAAGTGTCGAACTAGTACTTCTGTAAAATTCCCTTTATTTTCAGAGTTATTGTCAATAGAAATAAAAACCGGTGTTAAAATTTCTGTACTCTAATATATTTAAATATGGATACATCCACAGAAAATACAGAATATTATTCTTATACAAGCATTTTCCATGAAAGAAGGGTATTTTTAAAATATGTCATCCTTTCTGTATTTTTTGCTAAAAACAGTATTTAAACAATTTTTGGTTGCAATAGTATTTTTAAAACAATTGTATATGTATATTTTAATACAATTGTCACTAGACACAAAAAAAATCAGTTTAAAATCATAGTTCCAAACATACTCAAAATAAAATGCTTAACAGATTATTTATGCAGGGTGTTGCCGAATTCAACCGATTCTAACTCAGATGGGTGACAATTGACCGTGTTGAAACGACAAATCACTTTTAAACAAGGACTCACAAACCACAATAGTTGGGGTAATTCTGAAAATGTTTATGAAGGGGTGATGTCGAGGGGAATGAAAACGGGGGGAGGGGATAACAGGTAAGAAATGCATTTAATAGACTTAAACATGTTTACAATAAGAGCAATACATCACAGCTTGACGTCAGAAATACAATGACAAGTGATTGTAACAGGAGTTGGTCGAAGTTGTGACAATGTAGGCCATAGTACATCCGACACCAATCGACGAAATATCGTCGAACGCATTCAAATGAATCCGGAGTGCAGGCTGATGTCAGCTGAAGCGACGACAATCTGTTCCTCGAGATCCTGAACTGTAGCCGCTGGCGTCTCATATACATATGATTTCAGATTGACCCAGAAGAAAAGGCCCCTGGGATTAAGGTTGGGGGAGCATGGAGGCAAAGCAACAGGTCCATCGCATCCAATCCATCTTCTGAGATATCTAGCATAGAGGAGAATGGGCTCAATTCATGACGTCACATGATAAAGACAAACACGTGATCTCCATTGAATTCAAAACAAACATTAAACTAAATGTACTTGTTGCTTTATTTGTAAAACTTAGATAAAATTTCAAATTTCATATTTGGGTAAAGATGTTTAAATGTTCAAAAAAAAAAATTTTTTTTCGAAAGCATTTTTTAAAATTTAAAAAAAAAAATCGTATTTTATGCTTATACTTTTAAATAAATGCATTTTGTACACATGTGTACTTTTTAAGAGAAAGTTTCTACAAAACTTGTCAACACAGAAGAGCGTGAACTGATTAGCTGGAAACACAAGATGGTTTTTATTGTGTGACGATGACGTCATATGAGTTTTTGAATTGATTGGCTAGAATCACGTGGATATCACTATCATGTGACTATGACGTCACATGAATTGAGCCCATTGAAAAGTGTGCTGGGGTACCATCGTGCATGAACCACACGTTCTGCTGTGCAGTGGCCATTATTGCATGCAGCAAATCCAGGAAAAGTGAGAAATGTGTATGCGCATACGCTTCTTCAACCCTACCACGGTGCAGCAGAATACCCTCATTCATTTGACGAAAAAAAAACCCTTATTCGTTTGGCAGCTCCTCGTGTCTGGCTCATAATTCTCCTATTATTGCGAATTTCACCGACTGCAAGTGGTTTGCGACACCATGTTCTCTGTTGATTTGTCATACCTATGCTGCCTACAATCACGCCTCAGAATTTGTCGATCCAATTTGGCAACACCCTGTATATATATATATATATATATATATATATATATATATATATATATATAAATATATATATATATGTAATAATTCCCTCTAAAATACTTTTAATTAACCCTTTAATGATCTATAAATAATCTTTAATTCTTAGGTTTAAAAATAAACGTTGTAATCTTAATCGTAATCGGCTAAGCCGATTGCCGTAGCCCGCGCATTTTAGCCAATCAGATGCCCAAAGGAAAACGCCTATTCAACTTAATCGCGCGCTCTTTTCTCTGCTTGCCGCCATAATGTACGATTAAAAATACTTGCTGCTTTTTTTCGTCTTTGTGTTGTGTCCTCCAAAACGCCGCTGTCTATGCAATGATAAAGTAACGTAATTGTGCTTTAATCTGTTGATGTGTGCTCATAATAAAGGAGGTAAAGCTATTCTGAAGACGTCATTACTAAATCAAAATTGATAATCTTCCACTCCGGCCAACACTACTTCAATATATTACATATATATATATATATATATATATATATA